TTATCCACCCCCCGCCCCTGGGTTCAAGTTGTATGGATTTTTTTTCAAAATTTACGTATTTTTGAGGCTTTTTATACAGGTAAACATCTGAAAAGGTTGACATGTATGGGACAACAAAATACAGACTTGTTGTTTATTGAATTTGTCAACACGAACCGCTACCTGAGAGGCACAAGTAGCCCCTCCCCCCATCAGAGTGTCGGAGCAGGACGAGTCTGTGCAACGTCAATCAAATGAGAGAGAGGGTGGGGGCATTTGCTGCATGGGGGGTGTTTTATGGGTTGAGTAGTTTATTTTTCCTGTAATACTTCATTATAGTTTTTAAGACAAAGCTAATTGAAAGGGGTGCTGAGCAGAGTTACAACAAGGGATTACAAATAATTACTTTTTTTTTCTTCTGCAGTTCGGTGCCCCCTCCAGCAGATGGCGCTCTAGGCGACCGCCTAGTTCGCCTATGCCGAGAGCCGGTTCTGTGAGTGTCGGTGTCGAAGCGCAGACGTTGGAATAAATCCCTCTATTTACGCGTTTGAGCACCAACAGGTCTGCGTGTTGCAGAAGTGGCTTTTGTGTACGAGACGAGAGAGCGCGGCGGGATAAACTTCAATTTGAGCCACTTCTCGAGCAGCCGCTCATTTACTGGCTATTTGTGTCAATACCAGCTGTACCTACATTTGTGTGTGCGCCGAGGTCAGCAGAACGCTGTTGTTTTTCCTCTAGCCGTMTTGTGGACGTCTCTCACAGATGTAGCCACATTAAAGAGAAGCTTTTCAGATCTGGGAAAGCATTTGGAAACACATGGACTCGTTTATTTTAATGCGTGAGGCTGGCTGCTGACTGCCTCAAAAAACATGTTTGTGGCTGGAAATGAGGACTGTGGCAGGTGTCCATTCATCAAAATCATCTTTAACTCCCCCGCCTTACTGAGCAGTTTCTCCAAATAAAAGGAAAAAAGAAAACAAAAACAATAACATCCAGACCCTGCCCTGGAAACATATTCCCCTTCCCCCCATACCCTCTGTCTGCTCATTGGCAGTAGGTCGAATGGTGTCCCTTTGGGCTGGGAAAGGGAGAGGGGCCGTACATCTTTATGCAGAGCTACGTGGATCTGCTTCACATGTGTTACTG